AGGCAAAACACCTATACATGCAAAATAAATAAAATAATCTAAAGCTGATCTATCTTAACATCGTTTTGATTGATAATTCTTTGTACTTTTTTTAAAGACAGTGTCTCACTATGTAGTTCTTGGATGGTCTGGAACTCACTCTGAAGACTAGGCTAGCCTTAATTCATAGCGATCCAAGTAATGTGATTAAAGATGTACACCACCACACCCAGCAAAGTGTGACTGGTTGATTGACTTAAACTGTTTATAAATAAAAAGGAAACAGATGCTGAGCAGTGGTGGTGTGTGGCTTTAGTCCCAACACTCCGAGAGGCAAAGGCAGGCTAATCTCTAAATTTGAGGTCAGTCTGGTCTACAGAACAAGTTCCAGGACAGTCAGGGATACACAGAGAAACCCTGTCTCAAAAAAACAAACAAACAACAAATAAATGGAACAGACAATTAAAATGGAATATACTTCTTTCCAAGTGTTCTCATTAATGTATAGCTTACCATGTCAAAGTAAGAATGGCATTAGTTACATAACCATGTTAAACTGAAGAAACAGTGGGCATAAAAGGGTGAAATTCCACAGACAAAATAACAGAGAGACCAAGAAACAAATTACTTTTTTACAGAGAACAAAGCATGGCCTTGAAAGCACTGAACTAGTATTTATTTCCATAATAGAAAGTTTTCATCTCAGTAGATTTTCTTCCAGGAATGCTAGACAACCTATGTTGTAAGACAGTTTAATTCCTAAATCACTAAACGATAACAGACAGTAGGTAAGACCAGGTGGATAGGAAATGGAGAAAAGTGGACCAAATCCTGTTTCTGGGAGCCCATTCATATCCAGCACGGCAGTGAGTTCAGACCCAACAGCACACTTCTTTCTTCAGATACCTCACCTGTTGCAGAACTTCTTCTCACCAGCCTGGTCCAAGAGCCACGTCAGCCCCAAATGAACACACAAGACTATATTAATTATGAAACTATTGGCCAGAGACTAGGGTTTCTCATTGGCTAGCTCTGTCTTAATTATTAAGCTATCTCTATTAATCTAAGAATTTCCACATGGTCTTGGCTTACCGGGGAATGCCGGACCTGCAACTCCTTTGCCTGCTACATGATGACTGCTCAGCATCTCCACAGAGAAGAGAGCGATTTCCTGTTTGTCCCTGCTTATATACTGATTCTGCCCAGCTACGTCACTTCCTGGGACCACATGACGACTCATCTCTGCCTACACTTCCCAGAATCCTCTTTTTCCCCTAGTCCTACCTATCATCCTGCCTGGACAATCAGTGTTTTAGTCATCAACCAATAAGACAAACATATATACAGAAGAACATTCCCCATCACTCACCTTGGGGTCCGCCTCACTGCTCATTAGCACCAAAGGAGGTCCCACTCAAACCAATTTTGTTAGTCACTAACAATCTAATGAAAGGTCCAATGACTAAAACTAAAAGGTTCAAGTAATTGGCTTAGACAGACCTCCAGAAACTGACAGTGCTACCACACTTGCCCCAAGTTTGGCTGGTCTTGTACACACAAGAGAAATAGACTAATTCCTCAAAGCCACGAATATGCCATCTTTCTGTGTCACTAGAAGAAAGTTCACCATCTGAATATGGGTGAAGGACAACTAAGGAAGATGCAACAATATGATACGCAGATAAACAAGGGGATGCACAGAAAGCCAAGTAACGAAACTGGTACCGGGTTCACAGAACTAAGAATGACAGTCACATCATTTCTGAATCAAGTGATCAACCTGACACCCTCCATCTTAAAAGAAAACTTAAGACATCTTAATAAAACCTCTATGCACAATAAACTCAGCACATTAAATGTTTAGAAGATTGATTTCAAAGTACCTCATGACCACTGTTGAGTTAATCTCTACCTCTATAAAGAAAAGCATTTTCAGCCTAATATTTCTCACTTGTTTTTGTTATACAAAAATGCACAATAATCACAAATCTCATTCATTATGAAGACTTCCTATTGTGTTGCAAAAATTTTCAAAGCATTTTAACTGATCAAAACTTTAAAAAATAAACTGGGCATACTTCCTGCGCTGGGAAGGCAGAGGCAGGTGAATCACTAAGTTTCAAAAACTTAGTGTTTCTATGTACAGCCAGAGGTACATAGAAAACTCACTCTCACATACACACACTTTGCTGATAAGAGAACCAGCTATGACACAGCACAGTCCAGAGGAGGACAGAAATGCAAAACCAAACAAAATAAGATGCTATGAATCCAAGGAGGTAGGGAACTAATGTTCCAAGAAGTTATCATGGATAGAATCTAGGTAGCACCCCAATCCTACACTACTTAATTTATTCCCAAGTCCCTCAGACTGGGTAGAGTGAAGAGACAAAACCACACTGGGCCACTTTGTCATTTCTGTCACAGTATTAAAATGACTACTAATGGAACAAGGTAAGCTAGCTGTGAGCTTTCTAGCTTTTATTAAGAGTTGTGTTTTATTCAAGGCATTTAAAATATTACAGGATTTCACAAATTTCCTATATATAAGTCAGCAGGGGCTAGAGAGGTGGCTCAGAGGTTAAGGGCACTGACTGCTCTTCCAGAGGTCCTGAGTTCAATTCCCAGCAACCACATAGTGGCTCACAACTAACTGTTATGAGATCTGCTGCTGTCTTCTGGTGTGCAGATATACATGGAAGCAGAATGTTAGATACATAATAAATAAATTCTTAAAAAAAAAAAAAAAAGACAGCAAGCTGGGGGCTGGAAAGATGGCTCAGAGATTAAGAGCACTGGCTGCTCTTCCAGAGGTCCTGAGTTCAATTCCCAGCAACCACATAGTGGCTCACAACTAACTGTTATGAGATCTGCTGCTGTCTTCTGGTGTGCAGATATACATGGAAGCAGAATGTTAGATACATAATAAATAAAATCTTAAAAAAAAAAAAAAAAAAAAAAAAAAAAAAAAAAAAAAAAAGACAGGAAACTGGGCTTCTCACTTCACAGAGGAAAATGACAGGAATGAAGATGGGGAAGGTTCAAACTGTCTAGCAGAGCTAGGAAATACGACCTGAATATTAACCACATTTATCTACCTGGTTCTCCCTAGGATCCAATCTCCTTAAACTTTCCCCCAGATAAATTAAGTCCAAGATTGTTTTGTTTTGTTTTGTTTTTTTAAATCAATGTGTCTCTAATTTGACAAATAGCAAAATCTAGTTAAACTTTCTGGTTATTTAACAATTAATAGCAACTCTGACAACCAGCTCTGCTGGCCAGGGCCATAAGTCTAACTTCTTCCCATGCTACAAACTCTAACATGCCGCCACTGGAGGGGCACCTGTAGACCTGTTACTTTGGCTAAGAGGGTGGCTGTAACTTAAGAAATGAAGGTATTCCTACAAACACCCTTTCACCTACTTTTCATGAACATTTTAAACTGTCCCAGGACTCGAAGTTCAGCTTGCTGTTCACCTGAGGACCTCTGACACTACTAATCATAGCTGCCAGAAATAGTGATGTGCCCAAAGGTGGCAAATCTACTCAATGTCCAGAAACTGAGAGAAGGACATGGTACTGGAAGGGTTTGCTATACAGCCTCTAGAGTTTGAAAAGTCACATATAATTACAAACCAAGAGTTAAGTGCCAAATAGTTTATGATAATCTCCTTTGTTAGTGGGAAAAGAGCCTGTATCTAGTGAGAGGAAGAACACCTGTCCACACCTTTAGACTGGACTTCAAAACTGAGCAATGGAAGGTTGGGAGGGTGGCACAGGGGTTGTTTTTCATGTATTTGTTGACACGGAGCTTTGCTATGGAGCCCAGGTTGGCCCTGAACTCGCAATCCTTTTACCTCAGCCTCCCATGTGGAAAGATTATAAGCATACACCACCACATCTGTCCCTGAGCAAAACTGTTTTTAGAAGCTATTGTTGTAATTAGTAAGTAGCTAGACCAACAAGGAAAACACAAGAGTCAAACATTTCAATTATTCTTTGAAAAAGCCAAATTCTCAGCCTTAGACATTGGTAGATAGAATACTACAGAAACTTTTAACTCAATGGCTCTAATACACCAATTCAAAATATGCTATAACATGAAAATTACCAAAAGAAATAGTAATTTAACAACATAATACTTCCCATAAAGTGTTTACAAATTCTTTTGTGTCCATAACAGTGTAAATTGAATAGCTGAATAATTTTTAAGTGAGAAATCTCTTACATGGTAACACATATTATCTTCAAAGCTCTTATTCATTTTGACTCTAATTGTGCTGGTCAAAAAAGTCTTAGTATCGAACACTACAAAACCATAATCTATAATACACCACTACTCTCAAAGGCTTCCTAGAGAGATTATTATCTTCTTCTTTTTTTTTTTTTTTTTTTTTTTTTTTTTTTTTTTTTTTTTGACACAGATTCTTACTATGTAGCCCTAGCTGTCCTAGAACTTCCATATGTAGATCAGGCTGCCTTTGAACTTAGAGATCTGCCTGTCTCCACCTCCAAGTGCTGAGATTAAAGGCGTAAGCCACCACAGTTGACTACTGTGTTTTAATTCTACTCTTAATACACCAAGTTCATCTGTTCACAGTAATGTGATGGATAAATGGTAATTCAGTCAACATTTCTGAAAAACACATTTGCTTTTAAGCAGGCAGTAGGTGTCCATTTCCTTGTCTTCTCCTTTCTTTAGTTAAATGCATCCCAACTCTCCCTGTGACCTCTTCTCAATCCTGTGGAATGTCAACTGACAGCAAAACTATTCTCAGAATCCCTTTATTCTCATTCGGGCGTGTGTGTTTGTGCATGCACACTAACTTTTCCTATTATTTCTGAGGATAAATTCCTATTACCTGTAGATACGCTAGGTCAAATACTTATGCATTTTTCCTAGATAGCTAGCAACAGCTCTTCAAACTGAAAACATTAATTTTGACCTCTTCTGCACCTCAGAGTAAATCTGTTTCCCTTCATGTGTCCCAGCCCTGGGAATTACTATCATCCTTACTCACCCCACACTGGCAGATGTTCAAATGTCAAATGTTAAAATCACAAAAAGAAGGAACAGAAGTCACAGTAATACCATACTGTAGTTGATTTTAAATTTTACTGAATTCACTTGCTTTAACTGGGGTTTAAATTGCCAACATAACAGCAGAAGATGGCATCTCAGTCCTGTGCTCAGACTATACATATGTCCATCCATCCCTCAGTATCCATGTAGGGTTGGATCCCATTCTTCTCATGGAATCACTATCAATGCACAAGAAACACAAGCAAGAAATCAATGTATTTAACATTATGGGGACACAATCAGTAAAATTCAGTTTCTTCAATACAAACTAAACAGAAAAAGATGGAGAACCTATGGACTTCAAAGAGACTTCTTGAAGCCAGGCATGGAAATAAGTACACACCTGTAATTCTAGCACTGGGGAGGCTGGATGATTACCACAAGTCCAAAGCCAGCCTGGTCTACATAACAATGTCCAGGACATCCAAGGAGACCCTACCTCAAAAAGAGAGAGCGAGTGGGGAGGGGAAAGCAAATCAGGAGGGGAGGAGAATGCTAAACAAATTATTAAACTGTAATGTATAGACCTTATTTGGGTCTCAATTAAAACAACTATATGTAGATGATTTCATAATTAAATCTGTTCCTATCTTTAGACCATAGGTCATGACACACACATATGATAATCAGGGAGCAATAAATGGATACCTGATATATTATGTGTCTGTGTGTCTGTGTCCATGTATATATGTATTCTTTTTGAAACATCACAGATCAAATCTAGAGCTTCTCACACTCTAGGCAAATACTCTCAGTGTTGAGTCACATTCCTAGTCAGAAATATGGGAAGGGGGTGGCAGAGCACATGTGGTAGTCAGAGGGCGTCTTGGGGGGGGTCAATTCTCCCCTCCTGAATAAACTCAAGCTTAGCAGCAAGCCCCTTTACTCACTAAGGTATTTTTGATAACCCAGAAATTATTTTTTAAAATAATCGGATTTATTGTGGAGCCTTTTTTAGAGTATACTAAGATATAGACAAAATTATAAGGCAGTTGATTTGCTTTTAAACCATCCAATGACAGGAAGAAATAACCCTAAAATAAGACTGAGGATGTTGTATAATTGCTAAGGCTGGATGAGAGAGAAAATGCTGCAGAGTATATTAGTGTCTACCTTTTTTTAGTGGTTAAGATGTTCCATGATAAAAAATAACTTATAGCATGCTCAAGATCCTGGGTTCAATGTCCAGTAGCACTACAAGTAATAATAATAATAAAATTAACATTTAAAGAAAAATTTTCCAATGTCCTTAGATCCTTTTTCTAAATGTGTTCAGCTTTGCTTGGCTGAGTTTTTAGAACTCAACACATATTGAGGTGCTTCATATGTGTTACTCATATGTTTCTAGTTTATCCATGTATCCTTTCATTCTCGTCATTCTTTGCTATATAGATATGTAAAATAAGGGAAATGCTGACATGCTAACCCATGGATAAGCCTTGAGGACAATATGCTAAGTGAAACAAACAAGTCAGAAAAGGAAAATTACTGTGTGGTTTTAATTGTGGTCAGTTCCATAGAGGCAAAGGGGTATTCCAGAAGCTAGGAAATGGGAAAAAACACAAAGTTCTTGATTAATGGGCTTCCAGACTGGAAACCTTAGTGGTAATTGTTTTTTAACAATAAATGAACTTAATGACACTGAATTGTTCAAAACAGACAGTAAAAAGTATCCCTGCTTTTATTATATACTTTATCACAAAATACTTTAATTATGTTAAAATGTAGTAACTAAATTAACATTACCCCAGCCCAACTAAAAGAAATCTGACATTGTTATCTCAAATTCCATGCAGTTTCAACAGTCTCAGTACGGGCAAATGACCTTTGAGAGACTGACAAGACTCCAAAGGCCCTAACCAGGAAGAATGCAGTAACTACATCACAGCATTTCACCCAGAGGTTTTACTCAATGTTTAACTACACTTTACCAACACATGCACCATCGGGCTGCTCCCACAGTCTTCACCCTTTCCCTCCACAGAAAACAAGAGAAAAATGGATGTTATGAAGGTGGTTTAAGGCATGAAGTCACTGATTGCCACCTACCTTATCCATGGTCACAAGAGCCATTCAAAACCTTCCTGAATCCGACCTGCAGCAAACTCAGAAGGAAAACAGTGTTCACATTTAGTTCTATATGTCATCCAGACAGAGAGAGGGCTGAACTCTGGATTGAAGAAAGGCTGCAGTCTCCACCATACTTCATACTTAGGATCTCAGCACCAACAGTAGATGATTCGATTTAAAACTCTCTTCACAAACAACAACATCAACTAGTACTATCAGTAATAATAAACTCTACTACTACTACCATTAATCATCATCTCTTCATGAGGCCATACTAAGAGCACCTGCTGCTCTTAGAAGACCTGATTTTGGTTCCTAACATCCATATCAGATGGCTTATAACCACCTGTAACTCCATCAAGAAGATCAATCCATCACCCTCTTTTGTATGTGCTTCATATAGCACACACACACACTCAGGCACAAACACATAAAAGAAAGACAAAGAGGAGAGGTATAAAAGGGGGGCAAGGAAAGGAAAACTCATTATAAAAATACATAAAAGCTGTTTTCATGTATCATCCATCTTTTTAAGAGTTAAAATTCCATTTGAAGTTTTAGTGGTGGGGGCGAGTTATGAATAAATTCAACTCTTATGTCTCCATGTGAGAACCAGAAAGTCAATATGATTCACATTCATCGTTTCTAAGTTATTTAAAATACGTGCAGTAAATACACTGCTATTCCCCACAACATGGGTAAGGATGGCTTTCTATTCATCCGCCAAGCCTGAAAGCTCCACAGTGTTAAAAACATTTTTTTTCTTACATGATTTCCTATAACTCAGTACAGCATGCTTCCAAGTCTAGAGGGCAACACCTCTTCCATCACCTGAAAATACTGCTATTTTTCACAGCCCTTATTAAAACAGTCTTTGATGTTTTAAAGAAATTCTCATCATCTAGTAACTGTTTCACACAAATTACTCTTCTTTAATTGAGAAAGTAAACACTAGATTTGGCTATTCACAAATGCTCATACAATCATTTATCCAACAGTAGCACAAAAAAAGGACACATGACTCCCCATTCGGACCGTGGCTATCACTACATTACTTTACCTCAACTCCCAGCCCACCTGAAGGCTAGGAGTCTTCCCATGGGTTTTCTGGGTTGTAGTATGGCTATATACAAGGGCCCAGTCCCTCACGTCCATCCCAACCTGGACTCTCCAGGAACAGGGCACCGTCCCCCTGGGCTTCCTGCAAGAACTCAACTCCCACCAAGGAGTGGAGACTCCAGGTACACAAAAAACGGGCTCAAAATAAGAGGATCCTGGAACTGTTCTTACATCCCTCTGAACCTTAGAAATAATTTCCTTGTACCTGCTTCAAGGACTTAAGGAAATACCCTCAAGATGCTTGACCACAGTAAAATAAAGAGTTGGGCCTGGTGTGGTGGCACAAGCCCTTAATCTCAGCTCTGAAGGCAGAGGCGGGCGATCTCTTTTGAGTACCAGGGCAGCCTGGTCTACTCAGTTAACTTCCAGGCCTGCCAGGGTTAAACAGACCCTGTCTCAATAAATAAATAAAAAGAAAGAAAACTAAACAGTAATTTTTAAAAAGGGAGTCCCCAAATAGAAACCCTGAAAACAGTTCCCTCCCCTCAGGGAATAGATTATCCCCAGAGGGAGAAGTCTTAACTTGACTTTCGGATTACCTACCTGGGCAGGTTGGCAGGCAGAAAGAAGAGGCCCCTAAGTGACATCAACCCCACTGACAACTGTCAACCCCTCCACCTCCAATTCAAGTCACAAAGCTAGATGGCCCTCACCTTCCCAACCAAGCGGTGCCTCCACAGAAAGTAGTGGGGACCTCCTTGCTAATTGCCCCCAAACGATGAAACTTCGCGTCAGCACCAGGAGCTGGGTTAGGAGGGCGCAGGGGCGCAGAGGAAGGGTTGGCGCTGGGAGCGGAATCTCCGTGATTTGCCAGAGGAAACCGCACAGGCTCCAGACAGCAGGAGCGCCGGG